TTGTCTCCCTCTCTCCCTCAGTGGAATGGAATGTTCTCTCTGGCACCTTGGCGGCTGGAGGAACATGGGTAGGAGAACCCCCTGGCTCTCTGGCCAAGTCTTGGTTGAAGTCCTCCTCGGCAGCAGGTTTCTGGGGTTCTTGGGGAGCTCCAGGACACTTCCTGCTGCAAGTCACTGCTAAACAAATCCTCCCCGGTCCTTGGAAGCAGAGCGGGAGGCAGGTGAGAACTCTCACCCAATCAGCACAACCAATTTGTCATTCCCTGAAAATAGAGTCGTCCCTCCAGTCTGGCCAGCTCCCGCCCCCAGCACGCTTGGTTGGTGGGGATGGAGAGGGAGGCCCGGCTGCCTTTGAGCAATGCCACATTCCAGGGGGGGTGGCGCCTCCACATTCACCGCACACTCGGGCGTGTTGTGCCTCGTGCCTGCAGCCACCCTTGAAGTGTTGTTGTTACACAACAGTCATGAACTCTGGAATGTCTCTGGTCACGCTGTAAATGACACTGCCAAGCTTTAAGGCCCACAATGAAGCTGGCTTGTTTTTCAGTAGACCTTAGTCCCGCCCAGAACAAAGCTGCCAGGCTTGTCCAGAGAACGTCTTAGCCTAAGAGTCCTAAGGAACAGAAATGCCAGGGAGATGAAATACAGGAAGAGATGACAAGTCATACTCCAATAGTCTCGCAACTCTTTCAAAACACGCGCCACAATTTGACCAGACCCTTGGCAGATAAGCTTTCTAGAAATTAGCTGGGCGCTTCTTAGAGAATCTTCTCGTCTTCTCTCACACTCGCCTTGATTTTTCCTCCTTCGTGACATTCATTTCCTTCATGAGATAAATGAAGAGAGCAAGAGATTAAAGTTCCAAACAGCACATGATTCATGAGTCATGGCTATTTTTTCTCTATAGTATTCATTTAAAATGGCATCGTTCCAGTAGAAGAAACAGAAAGTAAAAATGAACCTTAAATACAGCTGTTCGTGCTTCTGTAATACGACAACAATTATGAAATTAATGCCTCACATTTGATGTAGGCTGCACTGTGGTCTACACGGCCATTATCTCATTTTATCTGCAAAAATACCCTTCAAGATAAGTTTAGTATGCTCATCTCGTTCAGAAGGAAAAAGAAGCCCAGAAAGGTAAAAATAGATTAGATAACTCAAATACCACCACCGCCAAAAGAAACCTTATCCCAGTTCACGTAGAAGATGGCCCACACATAGTAATCATTCTTAAGAAATGTTCTCAACATCACTTAACCAGTCTCCAGGGGTGTGATTTTCCTAAACCAGGATCCCTACGTTGTCCACCTTGGCAGAGCAGCCTGAACCCACAACATACGCGTTCTTTCAGAAGAGCTTCAGTTGGAACCCGACTCTGGACCCTACACTTCATTACGTACCAGCTATCAAGTCAAAGACTGTGGAGGACTCACTCAATGTGGTCATGGCATTCCGTGTTCTCTTGATCCATGTCCCCCTAAGGGAAAAAAAAAAAAAAGATATTTAGAAAGTGCTCCCTGCTGCTCCTCTCATTTTAAAAATCCTTTCATCAGACAGTTGGATCCAACACTTGAATCCCAAGACTCTATTATTCTTTTGTCTCAGGTTTTAGGCTTCCTATCCAAATAATGAAAGACAAATCCAGGTCCTTTGCTCATTCATTCCCTTATTTGTTCATTCAAGGAGCATTTACTGCTTGCCTAGTGTACTGCAAATATTGAGTCAGGCTGGGGGTGAGGGTCAAACGTGAACAAGACTGGGGCCCCAACGCCTTGAACGAGGCAGCCATGTACAACTTGATCAGTGTTTCTGGCCTCTTTTAAGTAAGCTAGCTGTATTAATAGCTGCGAAGAGGGGTCAAATTTAGTTGGAAACACTAACATTCAAGTTTGGGTTCGTAGCATTTAATTTTAAGTGTGTTTTGAGTGTTCTTGCCATATATATTCACCCATTTTTCAAATTTGAATGAAAACAATGTACATTCTGCCTATACTGGAGTTTGGATGTCTAATAGGAAATTTCATATTCCATGTGTGAAATCTGTCCCATCGCCATGGGGCAGTGCTAGAACACAACCAACAAAACATGAACACTTGAGTTGTTATAAATCAGTGATGGTCTTACTTAAGGTATACTAAGCTGATCTTCTGTATATTAAGATAATCGAAAATGAATCTTGATGTGAATGGAAGGGGAGAGGGAGTGGGAAAGGGGAGGGTTGTGGGTGGGAGGGACGGTATGGGGGGGGAAGCCATTGTAACCCATGAGTCGTACTTTGGAAATTTATATTCATTAAATAAAAGATAAAAAAAAAATAAAAAATAAAAAAAAAAATAAATCAGTGATGGTTTAGGAATAGATAGTTGGCCCATTGACATAGGATCCCAGTATCATTTAATGGAGAGCTTCAAAAACATGAGTCTCTGGATAGGACCAAAAAGAAAAAAAAAATGTTCTGAGTTGATTTTGTTTTTATGACATTATATGTGAAACTTTGCTGAGTTGTCCTAGGCTGTTTTTGAGTATTTTTGGTCTTGTTCTGTTTTACCTTCAATGATCCTAAACTCTTATAAGGATGCATAAAATCATTTCAGGGCAGTCATTATTTTATTTCAAAAGAATACACTCCAAGAACAAGGGCAATAATGGGAGGCGGGGGTTGGGGGCAGAGGGAGTATTGATGTCATGAAATGGAAAGAACACAAGACAAGGTACTTCTGTCTCTGCTTCCACAAAACCTCGCAGGTAAACCAGATGACCTCCAGGTCTTTTTCTAGAAATTGGTGAGTGGAGAGCTTGTTGCTTATTTGACTAAAGATGCGTTAACCCTAAAAATCTTGTTGAAACATCAGCTGGTGGTGTTCCTTTTAGCTACCTGCCCAGCATGGTGCTTTGGTCGGGGTGGCAAAGGAAAACAGGGTGGCCTTGCCCTGTAGCTCTTGGCTCAGAGCTCCAGGAGGAACTGATGAGTCAGCACTTGGCCTGCTGCCCTATGGGTCAGGGCTGCAGGTGCCTGGCTAGGCCTTGTTGTGAGGGAGCTGCCAGCACTTTGGGGTGAGGCAGGAACTTGAAATGTGGACCATTTCAATAGTCACTCAGATTCCAGGGCACTTGACTCAAGCTTAGGAGTGTCAACCTCCATCGTCTTGTCAAACTGCCACCTTGGATAATTACGCCTCTCAAATTATTCTCGCATGTTATAGTGCTGTGTGGCTTCTTCACTTCCTAGTCCCTGACACAGGGTAGTTGGCTTGTTGTTCTGCAACCCATGGACTTGACACCAAGACTTGCACTGGTTGAGAGGTGATAATAGGGTTGGGGGGGGGGATGTTCTTCCTGAACCAGCCGGTCGGATCCCTGGGGTCACAAGAGGGAAAACAGAGAGCAAAGAAGACACACAACCCAAACCACTTCCCTTCCTCCTTACCTCCAGGGCGAAGGAAACCTACTAGAACAAAATCAACAACAACAGAAAAGTTGTGGGCCTCGGAAACTTTTGTACAGACTAACACAACTCTTATGTGAACAAAAAAAAAAGATTTCTGTCTGCAAGGGGTAATGTGTTGCGAAACTACAGAGCTGTATGATCTTTAAGCTATGAGATGTCGACATAATTGTTTTGAGATCAGCCAATCAGACCACACATTTCGTGCTACCAGGCTCTAATGAGTGTTCATTATACATCACGATAACAACTCCCTCCTTGTTTGTTAACAACGGGGCATTCTCTTCATGTATCAGTCATGACAGCTGATGCAGGGCAATTAAAGGCATCTCTTCATTTTCTCTTTTTTCCTGATTTCTTCTAGAGCTGTCATATGCTTAGAGTGTACTTTTCCTCTTCCTGATTTTTTTCCCTCCTTCTTCTCTCTTTAAAATCTTCTTCTGGGCTGAGCTAGATCTCATGGGAGGGAGTATCTCCCAACAACTGACCAACCAGGCACTTTGGGCCATGCCCAGCTTTTCCAGGTCACTGGGACACCATTTTTGCACATCACAGTCAACATGTGCCTGGTGGAATTCCAATAGCTGGACACATCTGCCTGCCTCTCAAGATGCTAGATTTTTCCAAAAGAGTTGTTTATTCTCCTTGCTGCATTAACCAGTGCAGTTATCTCCTCAAAGTGTGCATGCAAATGTTGGAAAAATATTCTGCTTTTGGAACATATTTTGAGCATCTGCTTTTATTTTCATTTTTTTTTTATGATTGTTGCTTCCTTTGACCAGTTCTCTGTAATTCAGGGAGGTCATTTAACCCTTGACACACCATTTGTGTCATTGTTACACTTGAGAACTTTTAATTAATTCATCCAATATTTGTAAGATCCACATTAAGTGCTTGATGCCGCATGTTGTTGTTGGAGTTCCAAGCGCACAATGTATACTCCAGGCCCCTGGGCATTTATAACATCCGTGAAAATGGTAGATATTTACACATGAAAATAAAATCGACTACACAACATAACACGAGACAAGACAATGTTGTATGTACAGGATATTCTTTGCAGTGTTTTTTTTTAAAGATTTATTTTTATTTGTTTGAAATGCTGAATGAGAGAGAGAGAGAAGAAGGAGATGGAGGAGGAGGAAGAGGAGGAGGAGGAAGGGAGAGAAAGATCTTCCATGTATTGGTTCACTTCCCAAATATCCACAATGGCTGGGGCTGAGCCAAGTATAAGCCAGGAACCGAGAACATCCATCTTGGTCTCCCATGTGGGTGCAGGGGCCCAAGCACTTGAGCCATCTTCTGCTGCTTTACCAGGCACATTAGCAGGGAGCTGGATCTGAAGAAGAGCTGGGACTCGAATATCTGCTCTGATATTGGATTCTGGCATCCTAATCAGTGTTTAACATTTTGGAAAATATCTAAATGTTTATTAATAAAGACTGATTAAATCCTTCATATAACGGAATACTATGAAGCTGTTTGAAAAGAATGAGGCAGCTCTATGTGTATTAAAATGAAGAGTTCCAATACAGTCTTTTTTTTTTTTAGATTTTATTTATTTATTTGAGAGGCAGAGTTACAGACAGAGAGGGAGAAACACAGAGAAATATCCTCCATCCACTGGTTCATTCCCCAAATGGCTGCAACGACTGGAGCTGGGCCGATCTGAAGCCAAGAGCTTCTTCCAGGTTTCCCAGACTGGTGCAGGGGCCCAAGTGCTTGGGCCATCTTCTACTGCTTTCTCAGGCTACTGCAGAGAGCTGGATTGGAAGAGGAGCAGCCGGGACTAGATGTGGGATGCCAGCCCTGCAGGTGGAAGATTAACCTATTGCACTATAGCACCGGGCTCCAATACAGTCTTGACATTAAGAAAGCAAGCATGTAATACCTCATCCTGTGCTACCATTTGTGAAAACAGAAAATCAAAATACAGGGGCTAGAGCTGTGGCATAACAGGAAGAAGCTCCTGGCTCCTGGCTTCAGATCGGCCCAGCTCTGGCCATGGTGGCCATTTGGGGAGTGAACCAGAGGATGGGAGACCTCTCTTTCTGTCTCTCCCTCTCTCTTTCTGTAACTCTGCCTCTAAAATTAAAATAAATCTTTAAATCGGCCGGCGCCGCAGCTCACTAGGCTAATCCTCCGCCTAGCGGCGCCGGCACACCAGGTTCTAGTCCCGGTCAGGGCACCGGATTCTGTCCTGGTTGCCCCTCTTCCAGGCCAGCCCTCTGCTGTGGCCAGGGAGTGCAGTGGAGGATGGCCCAGGTGCTTGGGCCCTGCACCCCATGGGAGACCAGGAAAAGCACCTGGCTCCTGGCTCCTGCCATCGGATCAGCGCGGTGCGCCGGCCGCAGCGCACCGGCCGCGGCGGCCATTGGAGGGTGAACCAACGGCAAAAGGAAGACCTTTCTCTCTGTCTCTCTCTCTCACTGTCCACTCTGCCTGTCAAAAAATAAATAAATAAATAAATCTTTAAATTAAAATCAAAATACATAAGCAGAGTCTTCTGTATGTATTGAATATCTTTGAACAGATACATGAGAATCTGGAAAGAGCAGACACCCCTGGGGAAGAGAAAGTTACATTTGTTTCTTCTGAATTGTGTACCCTGCATAAATCTTATCACAATTTTAAACTTACATTTATAATGTACCCTCACGCTCTGGCCAGCTCTGAACAGGGAGGGCCGGTAAACATGAAATGGAGACCTTTTCCCACAGAGGTCTGCAGAAGGTAGTGGCTTCTCTGCGAGAGGTTTGGAAGAAGTCCGCCTGGCGGGGAGGGTGGCAGTCACCGGCCCTGTTTCCTCTGAGTCGGTTCCAGTCTCTCGTGCCGTGACAGGTAAAAGCAGGACAAAAGCCAGGGTTCTATTGAACTGACAGAGGCTGAGCGTCCCTAACCCAGGTATCCGAAATCGGAAATGTTGCAGAAATCTCGAGCTGTTTGAGTGCTGCCATGGTGCCACAAGTGGAAAATTCCACACCTGATTTCATGTGACAGGGCACGGGCAAAACACAGGAGCACTAAAAATATTGAACAAAATTACTTTCCAGCTCTGAGTGTGAGAATTTCATGTTTAGACACAGGAGCCAAATAAAATCAAATAAATCAATATGTGTATGTCAATATTCCAAAATCTGAAAAAAGATTTGCGTTCAAGCCCTTCCAGTCCTACGCAGTTCCAATAATGGACACTCAACCCCTGCTACCAAATGTGGGGTTCTCGGTCATCATTTCAACATGACTTTTTTCAAAAGAGAGAGGACTGGGGGACCCCAGGGGAGCCAGCGAGAAGACTCCTGGGGACAGAGCAAGCCCTGGTGCCCAGCCCGAGCCTCAGAAGAGCTCCAAGTTCTTTTTTTTTTTTTTTTTTTTGGACAGGCAGAGTGGACAGTGAGAGAGACAGAGAGAAAGGTCTTCCTTTTGCCGTTGGTTCACCCTCCAATGGCCGCTGCGGCCGGAGCGCTGCAGCCGGCGCACCGCGCCTATCCGAAGGCAGGAGCCAGGTGCTTATCCTGGTCTCCCATGGGGTACAGGGCCCAAGCACTTGGGTCATCCTCCACTGCACTCCCTGGCCACAGCAGAGAGCTGGCCTGGAAGAGGGGTAACCAGGACAGAATCCGGCGCCCCGACCAGGACTAGAACCCGGTGTGCCTGCACCGCAAGGCAGAGGATCAGCCTACTGAGCTGCAGCGCCGGCCAATTTTTTTTTTTTTTTAAGATTTTATTTATTTGTTTGAGAGCTAGAGTTACAGACAGTGAGAGGGAGAGACAGAGAGAAAGATCTTCCGTCCGTTGGTTCACTTCCCAAATGGCTGCAACAGCCAGAGCTGTGCCGATCCGAAGCCAGGAGCCAGGAGCTTCTTCCAGGTTTTCCATGCAGGTGCAGGGGCCCAAGGACTTGGGCCATCTTCTACTGCTATCCCAGGCCACAGCAGAGAGCTGGATCGGAAGTGGAGCAGCCGGGACCAGAACCGGCGCCAATATGGGATGCTGGCACCAGTTTTTTTGTTTTTGAGCTCAAAGTTCTTGAAGCCTGGCATATTCCCAGAGCTCGGACACCTGATCAGAGCTGTGCTGCCAGCAAGAATCGCACTTCATGCACAAGTAGGACCTCTGAGGGAGGAGGGACCCCAAAGACCCTAATTCCCACGTCTCAGCCAGGGATGAGGGGAAAGTGAGTTGCCCAGCAGGCTTCGGGGCGAAGCGGGCACCATACCCCACGTCTTTGAACTCTGAGTCCAGGCTCTTTCATGCTGCTGCTGCCAGCACTAGAGTCACAGTCCCCTGCGATTGTCAGCATCGCTGGTGCAAAGGACCCGGCACCCACCAAACGTACTAAGCACGGTGAGGGCAAGCTCCGAGGCAGGGCAGCTGAGATGGGTTTTCGGGTGGTGCAGGGTGGGGCAACCAGGAAATCCCCTGACCTGCTGCAGAGAAGCGGGGCCATGGCACACACTTCCCAGCACATGGCGGGATGGGCAAATGTCAATGGCCCCAACCCTCCCCCACTGGTGGATCCAGGCCAGCCTAGAAGCTTCAGCCTCCAGAATCCCCAGCCCAGAATGTATCTTAGAGCTATTTTTTTTTCTCTCCATCAGTGCTCAGATCTGAAACCCATAGGATAGGAGTAGAACAGTGATGGGAAACGCTTACTACTGTCTCCTTTTGTAGCTCAAACAACGAAGCTCCAGCCATTGGGCTCAAGAGGCCGCCTCCTGCCCTGCTAGGATGCCATTTGTCTTCTGCCTCTTGCTGTACAATCCCCGGTCTCTGTGCTCGGACTGAGGCCCTGCGCTCCAGCACTGGGCGAGAGTCGCAGCCGGGGAGCCGTGCCCGGGAGTACTTTCTGTTTACTGCCAGGCACTTCCTGTTGGGGAATGACTTCAGCACGCGGACTCTGGACCACTTGGCATGCACACAGGCGGGAGCCACTTATCTCAGTCGCGCCATGAATCACGACCTCTTCCCACCCATTGCCGCAGACACCTGAGGAGTTCAGTCTCACCGAATTCCTCCCGCAGTTTTCAGTGGGATTTCCGCCACCTAGGCAGCATGAGTCAAAACGGATCATCCCCCTCGGCGGACTGCTTAACGAATTGAGGTGTTTGTTTAGAGCTGACTGTTTACAACGAAAACCACCCACCAGCCAGCTTGCGTTTTCATGCTGTGACAGCCCAGAAGAGGGGAGGGGAGGGGTGGCAGGGAGAGCCCCCCCCCCCAATTCCCTCCACTCCCTTCTTATCTCTTGGCTTTCTTGAGTCTGGTTTGGCTTTCATCGAATGCTTCGAAAGTTCTGCCCCGTGTCCAGTGCCCCAGGTCTCTGCGCCGAAGCTAATCTTGGCTCTTTATTTCCAGCCACAGCTCAAGGGCTGTGCTGTCTTTGGCGATGACTCAGCCACCAGTCGGGGGAGGGGGAGGAACGGCACCGCTGAATGAGTTATGGCACTTCTTCAGGCTTTGTCCTTTCATTTTCCCAATCAGCATTTCATTAACCGCTCCGGACTGCACCTCCTTGGAGTTCGTGTTTCATGAGATCATAAAACTAGACAGAGCTGGCCAGGCTCAGTGCTCCCTCAAGGAGTCCTTGTCCCCAGCCTGCCCTCGAGGACTTTCATTTCTTACTCCTTCCTGGCCAGACTTCTCTAAAGATGGTGAGAAATTATTCCGGACGGGCAGTGAGTTCTCCTAGATGCTAAGTCACTTGTGAACTGATTTCTTCTTTTCTTTCTTTCTTTCTTTCTTTATTATTATTATTATTATTATTATTTTAATGCATTTACTTGGGAGACAGAGACAGAGAGAGCTCCCATCAGCCAGGGTCACTCCCCAAATGCCCATAACAGCTGGAACTGGGCTGGGCCACGGCTGGCAGCCTGGAACTCAGCCCAGGTCTCGCACAAGGATGGCAGGAAGCCCATGACTGGAGCCGTAGCTGTGGCCTCACAGGGCCTGCATGGGCAGGGAGCTGGGGTGAGACACTGAACCCAGGAACTCTGCGCTTGCTCACCGGTGTCTTGCCTGCCAGGCCGCCGTCAGCTCCCGCCGTGCCTTCTTGTTGGTTCTATGCCCACGACTACTTTCGCTGTCCTGGCCTCTTCGCTGCTTTTTTCTGCATTTGTATTTGTCAGAGGTTGCAGAGTATTGAGTTGTTGTCAGCATCCACAGTAGAGGTCTGTTTTAGGCTCTGGGCATTTACAAGGAGACACAAATAGCTACAAAGAACCCCCATGGCTTCTTTCCTTTTTCTTTTTTTCCATTTTTATTATCTTATTTATGTAGGAAAGCTGTTACTAGGAAGTCATTACAACTGAGTCAAAACCATAATTGAAATATCTAAAATCTTTAATATGTAGAAACATTTTTATATAGTGAAATTATCCATATTTTCTGTACTATTTCTATTTTTCCTTTTCCCAAAGCAGAGGAAGGGCTGGAGGAAATTTACCTCTTGTTTGGATGCAGGACCAATCTTCAGTCTTGCCTCTTTCTTCTCCCTGCCTAAAAGCAGGAGTCGATGTTCACCAAACGCTTTACAAACACCAACTCACGGAGTACCCAGCGATTGTATCCCTTCCCCATTTTACCATGGATGTGGCCTGGCTCTTAATACTGCTCAGCCAGGGGCCAGCCTTGTGGTACAGCAGGTTGAGCTGCCACCTTTGATGCCAGCATGCCATATGAGCTCCAGTTCAAGTCCCAGCTGCTCCACTTCTGATCGAGCTCCCTGCTAATGGCCTGGGAAAGCAGTGGAAGATGGCCCAAGTGCTTGGGCTCCTGAAGTCCACATGGGAGACACAGATAAAGTTCCAAGCCCCTGGCTTTGGTAGGGCCCAGCCATGGCTACTGTGGCCAGTTGGGGAGTGAACCAGCAGATGGAAGATCTCCTGCTCTTTGTCTCTTCCTCTCTCTGTAACTCTGCCTTTCAAATTAAAAAAAAAAAAAAAAAAAGAGTTTACTTAGAAAAAAATACTACATTGCCCTGCCTCTCACAACCTGTAAGCTGCCTAATCATCACTTGACCAATTTAAACATGCACAACACACAACTTCAACTTTAAAAATCATTCATCTGTGTACTTTGGATCCACGGATGTTAACCTCCTTCAGTAATGTGTCTCTTTGAATCTAGTCATTGTTTCCCATGAGAAAGGCTGATGCGGGAAACACAGTAACAATGATACGTGAAAGAAAGAGCCACATGGAAAGAGCCACATGGAGTTCAAAATACAAGGCAGAAGTCATGGGCTGCTTTGAGGGTAAGACCATAGCCGTCCGGAACACGGGCCCTGAGCTGTCAGAAAGGTTCGGTAAGACTCAGGGCTGAGCCGGCACCGCAGCTCACTAGGCTAATCCTCCACCTTGCGGCGCCGGCACACCGGGTTCTAGTCCCGATCGGGGTGCGCCGGATTCTGTCCCGGTTGTCCCTCTTCCAAGCCAGCTCTCTGCTGTGGCCAGGGAAGTGCAGTGGAGGATGACCCAAGTGCTTGGGCCCTGTACCCCATGGGAGACCAGGAGAAGCACCTGGCTCCTGCCTTTGGATCAGCGCAGGGCGCCAGCCGCGGCGGCCATTGGAGGGTGAACCAACGGCAAAGGAAGACCTTTCTTTCTGTCTCTCTCACTGTCCACTCTGCCTGTAAAAAAAAAAAAAAAAAAAAAAAAAAAGAAAAAGAAAAAGATTCAGGGCTAAAACCCAGCGAGTGGCTTGTGAGGTGCCTCCCTCATTTGGGTCATTGAGACTGCGTTGACTCCTGCTTTGTACTCGAGTCTAGAAGAGTGCGGGGTCTGCTTCGCAGCCCAGTGAAGCCCAGAAACTGCAGATCCGAAGCTGAGTTGGAGGACAGACGCTGAAACCAGTGCCCTGGGAGTGGGCGGCGTAGGCGGCTGACAGCTGAGCCGGCAGAAGAGCTCCACACACAGAGGTCTGAGTGTGAGCGCATCTGGTGTAGGAGCCGGTGGCCCCGGCCACAGCTGCCCTGACGTGGGCAAACACAGGAGCTGTGTCGTCATCGTGCCCCTAAGCCAGCCAGACAAGGGCAGACCACAGTCAACTGTAACCCAATGAAGAACTTTGCAGGGTTTCGTTGTTTTTTGCTTTTGCAGGAACCCCTATACACAATGGTTAAAGCTTTATTTCCTGAAAGGTATCAGTATCACCAAGAGTGAAAATGACTCATTCCCTAGGATTTCTGGACGGCCGAGTTTTACTTGGAGTATTTGCATGCAAGCTATTCTAGAGCTGAGGCACCCTATTCTCTATTACACTGGGTTCTGATGACCGTGACTGTCCGTCATTGAGTGACAGGTTCTTAGGTTATGAAACAATAATTGGCCTTAACCTCGTGGGCCCGTGAAGCATTTCTGACTCCCTCAGCGCGCCCTGCTTAGCTGCTGCTGCAGGTTCCTGACTGACTCTGGCAAGCACGGGAGTCAGCCGGGACTGTGGTTATTTGCATACACCCAGAATCTTGTCATCTCCTCAGAGGGCTGACCTGTGTACCAAGATCCCTCCTGCTTCACATCATGGCACTTCGTTTCCTGGATTAGAAAAATCTGATTTTACTATTAGAAAGGAACTGGATTGGTGACACATTTTTGTGAGATGAATTAAGTTAATTCTCTGTGCTCAAAATGAACCTGTCAGTTATGAACTGACCAAAGCAGCAAATACTTCAAATTCAACACACTCTTCCAACATATTCAAAAGTCCAGTGTAATTACTGCCCAAAGTTTTCTGTTAGAGAGCATTTTTTTAAAGGATAGTTTTTTTTTAAACTCTTATTATTTCTTAATTTCAAAGGCAAAGTGACAGAGAGAGAGAGGGAGAGACAGAGAGACCTTCCATTTGCTGGTTCACTCCCAAATGCCACAACAACTGAGGCTGGGCCAGGCTAAAGCCAAGAGCCGGGAACTTCATCGGAGTCTCCCATGTGGGTAGTAGGGGCCCAAGCACTTGGGCCATCTCTTGCTGCCTTCCTAGGTGCATTAACAGGGAGCTGGATCTGAAAAGAAGCAGCTGGGACTTGACCCAGTACTCAAATATGGGCTGTCAGCATTGCAAGTGGGAGCTTAGCACACTGCACCACAACACTGGCCCAGAAAGAGAGCGCAATGAACTTTGATGTGCCCATCACGGCGCTTCAATTATCAGCAATATTTTGTCAGTCTTAAAACAGTACACCTAAGTGTGCCTACATGGAAGTCTATTTTAATTTTCCACCAGGCTGGAAACACCTGGGACTGGCCTCCAGCGCATCGGAGCAGTCAGGCCCGCAGCAGGGGGTGATTAGGAGGATGGTGACTGCTCGCTTCCTCCCTCTCCCAATGCGTCTCTCTGTCTATCATCTCTCTCTATCTCCTTTTGAAATATAAATGCCTCTGCTGGAGAACATTACTGAGATTTGCAAAGCCTTATTAAGAGTTGATTTTATCAGAATAGGTTGATTGTTATCAGAATAAGTCAGCTTTTATCAAACAATTTTGTTTTAGAACAGAAGACTTGGGAAGAGTTGCCTGTTTACCCGGGAGGTGAACAGGGCCCTGGAGTAGAGGCAGGGAACAGAGGAGGTGCAGTAAGAAAGGCACATCCCACCGCGGTCCAGGATTAACCCTAGCGGTAGTTCCTTTAAGAGCCTGTCCTAGAAAAAAAAACTGTACATGAAGCATGCTTATTACCAATGATTTGGATCAGAAAGTGACAGTAAAGGTTAGGTAGTTAGCCCTTTTAGCATTTTTTTGTAAAAAAAAAAAAACTAGCATAAATCCACATTATTGTTTCAGCAGTGAGAAAATATTCTGGAATTCAGCCTTCTTAATATGGACAGTGGTGTAGCCGGTACAGAAGACTTTTCCCTTACTGTGACTGCTGCACCAAACACCGACCCCCAACCTTCCCTTTATTTTATACCTTTTGGGTGGAATAAGATGACATGCAGAAGTTGCCAGTCATCTCTATGTTCAGCACCTGGGGCAGCTGGCCTGGTACCTTAGACGCAATCATTGGGATGCAGTGTTTCACATCTGCTCTGTGAGAAGAGAACAACAGGACTTGTTTCTTGCTTTTGGCCTTGACAAAGAGGTCACAGTGGTGGGGAGTGGCCACAGGTCAGAGCTGCAGCAGGGAACATCAGCCCAGCTGATGAGGCCAGCTGATGGAACGCATGCAAGCACTCTGCCCCAGGCCCTCCCTCACCACAAGGGAGAGGCGCTCGCCTTGTTTGTTTAGAACTAACCTGGGGAGAACCTGGAGCTGGTCTCTGAGGCCTGCCTCACCCGGGCAGGTGTCAGGGCTATAGGGAGTGTGTGAGGGGGTTGTTGCAGAGGGAAGGTATGGGTGTGTGTGTGTGTGTGTGTGTGTGTATACATGTGTATGTGTGTATTTACCTGCTCATGTCTCTTGTGTAAGCATGTGTGTATATCTGTGTGGGTGTGTCCACCTCCAGGTGTGTGTGTGTCACTGTGGGTGTGTGTGTCTCTGTATAGGCATGTGTATCTCTGTATGTGCATGTGTGTGCATGTGTGTGCAAGCCTGCATGTGTGACCTGAGCCGGCTGCAGTGCAGAAGGCAGAGGAACAGGCTTCCCCGAGGTGGGTTACAGAGACCTCCAGCCTCCACAGAGCAATGCAGCTCTGGTTCCCAAAGGCCTCAGATGTCACTTTTTTTTTTTTTTAAGATTTATTTATTTGAAAGGCAGAGTGACAGAGAGAGAAAAAGAAAGAGAGATCAATATTCCATCTGCTGGTTCACTCCCCAAATGGCCATAACAGGCAAGGCTGGGCAGGCTATAGTCAGGAGCCCAGAACTCTATCTAGGTCTCTCACATGGATGGTAGGGTCCTAAGGACTTGAGCCATCTTCTTCTGCCTTCCCAGGTGCATTAGAAGGGAGCTGGAGTGGAAGCAGAGCAGCTGGGGCTCCAATGGTGCTCATCTAAGATGCCAGCATTGCAGGTGGTGGCTTAGCCTGCGGCAGAGGCCACCTATCGACATCATGGTGGGGGGGGTCATAGGCAGCTCTGATATATCCCCCACTGTGTCAGGCAGCAAGGCCAGAGCAGTAGTGCCTGGACTGCATGAGCCTCTTGGGTCTTAAACTGATCATGGGAAGAGGAACCCTGGGAAGGAAAGACAGACTCAGAGGTAGGATAGGCTCATTACAATAGCTGTGCACCTGCTGGGGCCCAAACTGGTAAAGCAGAACATACGGATCACAGAATGGATGAGAAGAAAACAGATTGTAGGAAAGTTCACTTATATGTTAATTACATCTATAGTAGGAGTCTGGGGTAGACTTTCACTTTCTTCTTTATTTTTTGGGGGGAGGAACTTTTAAGTTAAATTTTTCTGCAACATGGGGTGAGCATTGTGGCCCAGTGAGCTAAACGGCCACCTGCAGAGCCAGGATCCAGTACCAGAGCACGAGATCAAGTCCCAGCTGCTCCACTTCTGATCTAGCTCCCTGCTGATGCACCTGGGGAGGCAGTGGTTGATGGCCTGAGTAGCTGGGCCCCTGCCACTCACTGGGGAGACCCACATGGAGTTCTGGGCTCCTGGCTTCAGTCTGGCCCAGCCCCAGCTGCTGTGGCCATTTGGGGAGTGAACCAGTGGTTGATCTCTCTCTTTCCCCCCTCCCCCCTCCTCATCTCTCTGTCACCCTGCCTTTGAAAGGAAGGAAGAAAGGGAGGGAGGGAGGGAGGGAGGAAGCAAAGAAGGAAGGAATCAAAGTTGTGGTTTCTAAGGTCCACATCCACCTTCCTTGCAAAACTCTATAGTGGCTAGAGAAGTCCACTGTTCCGGTTCCACAGAAACCACGCGTGGATGCGGGTGTTATAATGTTGGTGGTGTCACCTTGGTTCTGGCTTCACATGTTTCCCAGCTGACAACCGAGGGCCAGGCACCGTGACTTCCAGGTGTCACGAGCTGCACTCCCTGTGATAGGTTACCTTCACGGGGCCTTCTGGGTGATGTTGTGGCCACCCAAATCGGGGAGGGGCTTGGGAGAGTAAGTTCAGTTCCCTTTCAGTGCCCTCCCTTCGTGGGAAGAGGAAGTATTTCAGAAAGGAGAAAAGTCACGTTGCTCCAGATCAAAGTCCCCTCAACGTATTTTGTGAAAAACCTCCTGAGCCTGACGCTTGGTGCCTTCTCTACAGCGATGAGCAAAGGTCACAGGCAGGGACCTGCCGGCCCCACACAGCCTGGCACTCCTTTCTCCTCTCACCTGCCAGGCTCTTTAGAATCCTGAACTGCAAGGCACAGAGCTGAGAAACCACCGAGCACTCGTCCGCCTTGGACATTTGGTCACCAAGAACTCCCCGAGCACCCACCATGAGCCAGGCTGTGTGATGGGCTCCTTGGGGAAAATGACAATGGGACTCTGTCATCAAGGAACATCACCCGAGGTGGGGACCAAAGGCAAGGATTTAAGGACATGGCCCCCTGTATTCTGTTATGGCAGTGACCATGGGAACAATCACTTTGGACGCCAGAGGGTAGGAGCGGGGCCTGCTTGTGTTTCCCAGGCCTTGTAAAGCGCAGGGCACATCATTGGTCTTCAATGCATGTCTGTGGAATGAATAAATGGCCCAGTGAACCCTATGTGGAGTGGTGGGAAATAAAGCGAGCGAAGAAACTGGAGGCTGAGCTAGCAAGGGCCTCGAGTTCTAGGGCTTTGGGGGTCTGTGCTGCAAACCGTGGTGACTCATTGGAAGTCTCTTTGTAGGGGCAGGCATTGAAGCCAGGTTAAGCCGCTACTTGGGATGCCTACATCTCACATTGGAGTCCAAATCCCGGCTCCTCTGCTCCTCAGTTCAGCTGCCTGTTACTGGGTACCCTGGGACGCATCAGACAATGACTCCAGTGCTTGGATCCCTGTGGCCCACGTGGAGACTTGGATGGAGTTCCAGGCTCTTCACTTCAGTCTGGCTCAGCCCTGCCCACTGCAGGCATTGGGGGAGTAAACCAGCAGATGGATGATCTCTCTCTCTCTCTCTCTCCCCTGTCGCTCTACCTTTTAAATAAATAATAAATAATCATTTTTAAAAAGAAAGTCAGGACCAGCATTGTGGCATGGTGGGTTAAGCCACCACCTGCAATGGCAGCATTCCATATGGACACCAGTTGGAGTCCCAGCTGCTCCACTTCCACTTCCGCTCCCCTGAGATGGCCCGAGTGCTTGGACCCCTTCTTCCCAGGTGGGAGACCCGGATGGAGTTCCTGCCTCCTGGCTTCACCCTGGCCCAGCCCTGGTTGTTGCTATCCTTTGGGGGAGTGAACCAGTGGATCGAAGATCTCTCTCTCCCTCCCCCCCCCCCCAACTCCCGGTGTGTGTGTGTGTGTGTGTGTGTGTGTGTGTGTCTTTCTGTAACTGTGCTTTTCATAGAAACAAATAAATCTTTAGAAAACAAAGTCTCTGAGCAAGGCAGCCACATGAAGCCATCCACGTTTCAGAAAGAGAAAAACTCAGGATTGCCTGGGGTGACAAACAGAAGGCATGAGGATCTGAAATGGATTGGCCAGTGCCCTCCTCCAGTGGCAATGGCCTGGTCCTGCAGTCTCCGCCTGACCCTCCCAAAGCACTGCCCTAGAGTTGTGAGCCACATAGGTGGGTCTCCAGCCACTCCCACTCTCAAAGGCATAACACACTGGAGCTGTTTCTGTCAGAACCAAAGAAATAGGGTTGCACGGGCAGGTTGAGAGTGATTTTTTATATGCATATATGTAGGCCTGGGCACAGCCACCTGGAGTTAAGGAAAACGTTGCCTGAATCTACATTCCTTCCTCATTAACTCTTTCAGGACTTCAAGGTGTCATTTCATTCCTGGAAGAGCTAATTTTCCAAACATACCAGTGCCCTGACTTAATGACGGCATACTTTACTCTCATGGAATATTTTACTCGCTCTGGCTCCACAAATGATTATGGTTATTACTAACACTGGTCCCAGTAACAGTCATAGCCATAAACATGTTGATAGCAAAGGAAGCTTAAAAGCACCCAGGCTCCTGGGCCCTGTAATACAGGCTAATCAGGAAGGTTTCGGGTTTGTGTGTGTGTAGGTTTTTAAACTTTTTATCCTTAATCCCATCTTTATTGTGAGTGGAAATCCCCACTTGAGGGACCTTAGAGTTGTGTTATGGAGCCATTTCAAAAAGACTAAGGGATCAGGGGTATTGTCATCCCAGAAGCCCTGCAAAGTAAGGGCTGGTGTCCCACTCTAGATGGCTCTGTCCAATAGGAATATGACACACAGCTTCAAGTTTGCTAGGAACCACCATGAACAATAAACAAACAAACCAAGCAAAGGGGCCAGCAGAGTGGTGCAATGATTTCAGCAACTGGCTACAACACCAGCATCCCACATCAAAATGCTGGTTCAAGTTCTGGCTGCTTTGCTTCGGATCCAGCTCCCTGCTAAGGTGCCTGGGAAGGCAGTATATGATGGCCCAAGTACTTGGGCCCCTGCCACTCACACGGGAGACCCAGATGAGTTCCTAGCTCCTGACTTCAGCCTGTCCCAACACTGGCCATTGTGGCCGTTTGGGAAGTGAACCAGCGATGGAAGAGCTTTCTCTGTGTGTGTGTGTGTGTGTGTGACTCTTCCTTTCAAATAAATAAATCTGAAAAAAAAAATTTAAACTAAAAAGAAATAGACAAAATAATCTTAAGAATATATTTGACCTAGTATATCCAAAATATTTTCATTTTGATATGCAATTAGCTTACAAATTATGAATATTTGCCCCGACTCTTAGAAATCTGGCATATGTTTGAGATGTTGGTTTGAAGCAGCTGTGTTCCACATGCGGCCCTGGCTGTCCGGGTGGACAGGGCTGGCCGAGCCCCAGTAGGAAGACATAGATGTGTTATTCGGCTGCGAATACCTGGTGGGAAGCCCCTTTCTAAAGATGAGCACAGGCATTCGGCACTGAGAGGCCAGGGAAGGGGCATGTCCAATCCCTGCCCCGCCTGGGACCAGCGCGGAGGGGTCAGCGATCTTCCGGAAGAGAAGGGCCACAGGGCCGAAGGTAGGGGGAAAGGTGGACCCGCCACGCTCCCTGTTGGGGAGCGCTCCTGCACACCCCAGGGAGTCCAGCGCTGTGGGGACTCCCGGCCGCCGAGAATGAGCCACGACAAGCCCGGGCAGCTCCACGGAAGGAAGAGGCAGGCGAGCGGGGATTTGGCGGGGAAGGATTACCGACGGGGAGGCTTCCTTTGAGATGATCCTGGCTCCCCCCACCCTGGTT